TTAGATCCCGGCAGGAGGAGCTGGAGGTGCCCTGCTCTGCAGCAGGGGCAGGGAGGGCAGGGCCCGTGCGGGGCTGTCCTGGGGGGGCTGTGCTGAGCCAGGGGGGCTATGGGGGAGGTACGGAGCACTGCCAGGCTTCCCGCAGGCAGCTTGGCACAACCCCCCCCCCAGGGAATCAGTGAATCGAGGACTCACGGGCTGCCCTGGCTTGGAAGGGCCTCCCAAGGATCAATAGTGAGTTATTGTTCTCCCTTCTCCCAGCAGCTCTTGTCGTTCTCCTTGCACGCATTATCTGCTGCTCTGCTGATTTATCTGGGCAGAAAAGCCTGCCTTCTTCTCCCCAGGAGATCCCTGCTGGCTTTCTTGTTGTTAAAGCTTTGTTACTTTCTGTCGGTTTTTCTCTCAAACCAGAAACGGAAATTGCCAAAATGGAGCCCGGCTCGTGGGGTTTTTGGGGTGCTTGCTCAACTCTTTGGGTTGCTCAGGAGTTTGGAAGAGGATTAATTCTCTGTGTCTCCTGGTTACTAGACCAACTCAGCACCACCACTAGTTCAGTTTAAAATAAAAGAAACATAAAAGCGCTGTCGCAGGCAGGTAGAACACATCAGAAAGACAAAGGTTTTTACCTTTTTCTGTGCTCTTTTCAATTTTAAAAGCTCCCTGGCACCCTTTAGGATGGTCCTTTAGATGACATCATAATTGCCTTGCAGTGTGCTGTTCCTGTGTGTCTTTAAATATCTGAGGAGTGTCAGTTTTGGAAGCAGAACTGCTGATTTTGGTCTGTGCCAGGTGCTTGGGAGCAGCTGGGGATGGGTTTGGGTGTGGAGATGGGGAAGTGGAAATGGGTTTCCAGTGAGTGTTCCTGGTGCCCCTGGAAGGTGTGTGTGGCTCCTGGAAGGGGTTGGGGTAAGAGCTGAGCGTGGAAGGCAAGAAAAATCACCCCAGTGTCTTACAGGGCCTGGCCTGGCTGAGTCAGAGAGCCAGGAAAGGCATCCTGAGTGCTGGGGAGTGAGGGTGGTTTCCTTGGAGTCCTGAGGGTTGGGAAAAGACCTCCAAGATCAAGTCCAGCTGTCAATGCAGCTCCTCCACCACGGTCACCACTAACCCATGTCCCCAGGGGCCACATCCACACCTTGTTTGAACACTCCCAGGGATGGTGACTCCATCCCTGCCCTGGGCACCTGTGCCAGGGCTTTACAACCCTTTCCATTCCAAAATTGTTCCTGATGTCCAACTTAATCCACTCTGCTGTGGCTCTTGGAGAAGCTCTGGCTGGTGACTGTAGGGTGGGCCTGGTCTCTGCCACTTGTGAAAGGAGTGGGGATCCTGGAGGAGAGAAGGCTCCAGGGAGACCTTGGAGCCACTTCCAGAGCCTCAAGGGGCTCCAGGAGAGCTGGAGAGGGACTGGGGACAAGGGATGGAGGGACAGGACACAGGGAATGGCTTCCCAGTGCCAGAGGGAAGGAATTCCTGCCTGTGAGGGTGGGCAGGCCCTGGCACAGGTTGCCCAGAGAAGCTGTGGCTGCCCCTGGATCCCTGGAAGTGTCCAAGGCCAGGCTGGACGGGGCTTGGAACACCCTGGGCTGGTGGAAGGTGTCCCTGCCCATGGCAGGGGGTGGGATGGGATGTTCTTTAAGGACCCTCCCAACCCAAACCCTTCCAGGATTCCATGATTTCAGCTGAGGAATGGTAGATGAGCAATGGACCTGCTGCAATCCCTGGATTTCAGAGTGGCCCCCAGCGGGTAACGGAAGGTTCCTGAGTTCTGTAGGAGCAGAAGGCACACCCTGGCAGTGACTCTGTAGGCAGTGCTTGGCTCAGCTTCACCAGCAGGATTCAGCTCCAAGTGCTCCTGTCATTCCCCTGCCTGCCTTGAAGCTCCTGGTGCCTGGCAGGATCTGTAGGATTTACACTAGAGGGTGTAGTAGCCCAACCAGAACCAGGCAACCATCTTCTGGGAGCAGGTTCTCCCTTCCAGCAGGACTTGCTCCCTGCCAGGGGAGCTGCCTGTCTCCTTTTGAAGCAGCACTTGGGCAGGTTTGACCCATTTAATCACATCACTCGATAAATAACGCTTTAAAAGCGTCGTTTTTGGTGTTTTTTTTTTTTTTTTGCCAGAGCAGGTGGGTCTCTGCAGCCCAGATCGGTGTTTTCTGGGATGGTGCCTGGAAAAGAAGGATAACATCTAAGGGAGCAGCCTGCTAAGCATATTGATTCCAGGCTTTGATGTCTGGGGATCGCTGGAGGACTGGCAGGAACCCCCAAAACTCCCGGTACAGCTTTGGAGGGCTGAAAGGAGCCTTTGAAAAGTGAGAGTGGAGCTGGCCGTGGCAGGTTGTGGAGGGAGGAGGCTGTGGGCACGGGCCAGCTGGAGCAGAGAGGATGTGGAAAGAGGATTTGGTGGGATGGGATACTATTCCCCCTTTCTTTTGTCCCCCCCTCACCATTCCAGCCTTCCCAAGGCACGGTGTTCCCTAACAGGTGATCCATGTGTTCCCTGCAGTGCTTGTGTGCTCCCAGGCACCGGGAGAAGAGGCCTCCATGCCCGCTCAGGAGCAGGAGGACTGAGTTTTCCCTGTCTGCTGCCCTCTGGATGTGTCAGACATTCCCTTTCCTTCCTTTCCCAGGGCACCTCAGTCAGTGCAAAGGTGTGGAAGGAGGAGGGAGCTGTTGTGATGTGCCTGGTCTGTAGGGCCTGTGTGAAACAGGGCCTGAAATGTGGGATACCCGGCATGGGAAGCCTCTTCCCATGTTTTGCTGCCCAGTTTGTGGCTCCCTGGAGGCTCCTGGAAATCCCAGGCTGGCTGGGCACTGAGGAAGGGGCTGGAGCTTGTGCTGGGGGCGGGGGGGGGGAATTTTCTGTGCAGGGCTGGGAATCTGGAGGTTGCCAATTCTAATCCTGACTTGGCTGAAGTGCTTTTTCCATCTGTGAGAGGACTAAAACCCACCTGCTTCAGAGCAGGATGAAAAGATTATTGAATGTGTGTGAAGTGCTTTGAAAGCGGGCGGTGTAAGGAGGAGGGAAGAACTGCC